GGAATACTCCGTTGTAAAGTGGACCGAGCCATGCCCAACTGCTGAGAACGGCGTTTTTGGGATGTTCTTGGGGACCTCTCAACACTGGCTCGTACGGCACCGATATTCTCGGCCGATCGCCTTGGTCGACTTTTATATGGCCTCTTCGGATTAGAAAGAGCCTTACCAGTCGAAAATTTTTCGTATAAACGCTTAATGGTGTTCTTAGAAGGCGCACTTCTCACATTTTTTAATGTTTTAAAACCACGTTGAGTTTTCACAATTGACTTCTTCTGTTGAATGTAAATTTCAACTATTGCAGAGCGCTCGCGTGGCGTGTATTGGTTCATGGTAAAAATCTGCTTGGACTGACGCTTCAAACGCGGTATGTCATTAAGCGATGTGACATCTCTGTAAAAAGTTATGGCATTGCCAGATGGGTCCGTCGAATATGGGCAACCCTATATAGCTCCCATACGTATGTTTCGTCCGATGTTGTATTTAAGTCCCTCACACATGTAAAATTTACTCTAGAACAACATTTATGGGGCTGATGCCAGCTATTAGATACAGCATTGAAATACCTTAGCAATTTTTTTTGGGAAAGCGGTTCATATTTGAATATAGATTCCATAGGTATATTTATCCGATTTCACGTTTGTTGTGTACCACATGTGTAAGATAAGTCCAAATTGAATGGACTTTAACGAATTTATACTACATTTTTTGAAACTAGGTTTCCATATATCTACAGCTCCGATATATGTTGTTTAATATAAGCCTATATGACAATATTACAATGCAATGTTATTTGGTACGACATGTGCAAAACGTCCTCCAAATTTGGTATAAATCATTCCCTGTATTAGTTTCATCTGATCTCAAATTTTAACTGCTCTAAAGCCATAATAAGCATTCAAAAGAGATTCATAGTTTGCAGAATATAATATAAATTCCTAGTCTTCCAATTTGGATGGATGGATGGTCATCGGATAATATTTAGTATGTGAAATAGACCATAACATGTGTGTTAAAAAAAGTCAAATTTTAATAATGGCGAAATCACAAATAGACGAGCAGGTCAATCTTGACCGTTACATAGATGCCGATAGTAAATATATCGGATATATATAGCGAAATATATACAATGTATAAATACAAAGAAAGGGGATGTTAGGTAGAATGTTTATATCTCAGAAATGGCTGGACCGATTTTGACAAATTTTGTTAATTCAGAATGCCCTTTTAGCATAATATTTTTTTATCGCATGCATTTTTTTCAATTTGAAGTGTACATTTTATAGGTTGGGGTTATTCTATACAGATTGCAATTATCGTCCGATCTTCACGAACATTTTCATAAGGGTAGGCTCTGAAGAGCTAGACCTATTGTTTTTAAAGATATCCGCAATATATTTATGGGTTAAAATGGACCAACAACTAAGAATGTTCTTGATTTTGCAGCCCTTATAAAGGTCACAAATAGAAACCTAAGGACACGAAATCTAGCATGAAATTAGAGTTTAGGACAGCGGGTAGAATGGATGTGTGAAACCAACAATTCCATTCTACAGAAAATAACTTACAAGAGAAATGCTGATTTCTTTGACGAATACGGGCCGAGAGGATCGCACAGTTGAAACCAATCGACACGAAATTTCGCCAGAGAAGTGAGTTAAGGACAGCGAAGAATTCCAGCATTTTGGATGACCATTGGATTATACTAGTCTGTAAAATGAGCCACAACAACTAACAACACGACGAAGAGCGCAAATATTGGGCAAATGCGCCTGGTCAAAACGCTAAGGGTAATATCCGGGCAATGCTCTATGACATACTTTCAAAAGCGAAATCTTCCAAAATGGATTTGGACATAAAGGGTCTTTAACATATGTATTATTGTAGGGTATCACATGGTCGGCCCCGCACGTCTGTAGCCTTTGCTTACTTGTTTTAGTATGTGTTTTCGTTATTTATTTCGTGTTTTTTTTTTTTTTTCAATGAAAAAAGAATTGTAATTAGTATTTCCGTTGCACCAAAGTATTGGACCAATATTGTCTATTACACATTTGCCTAAGTCCCCACTTTATATGAGAGTATGAGTTGCATATATATTTTTTTGGGAATGTTGAACTTTTGTGGGGGCGGAGCCAAGAGGTATTCCATTTTTACACTTCATCTCATATTGTTAAATATTAGGATGTGTTTCATTGTAAATCAATTTTCTAAATAGGGGGGGGGGGTCCATAATATAGCTTTGTTTTTACTTGTTTTATCAATAACTTGTACCTCCCGATATTCGGTATTTACATGATTTTAGACACATTATTTACCGGAATTATTTCAAAATTCATATTTACCTCCCGCTATTCGGTTCTTTGATTATTTTAGCGAAATTATTCACAGGAATTGTTTCAAATTTGGCATTTGAAGTTCGTAATGGATACTGCACACTATGACAGACAATTGTCTGTGCAGGTCCACGTTTTGGTATAAGCCTCATATAACGGTATCTCCCGATACTCGGTATTTTCATGATTTAAGCGACATTATTTTAAAATTTCGTGTTTGAAGTTCGTAATGGATGCTACATCCTATGACACAAATGTTTGTATGCGTATAGCCCCCATATGACGGTACCTCCCGATACTCGCTATTTTTTTCAATTTGTGCAACTTTATTCACCGGAATTGTTTCAAATTTGGTAATTGAAGTTCGTAATGGGTACTACAGCCTAAGGCAGAAAATTGTCTGTGCAGATCCACATTTTGGTATAGCCCCAATATAACGACACCACCCGATATTCGGTATTTTTATGATTTTAGCTACATTATTCACAGAATTTTTCTTCCAGTTTCGCATTTGAATACTATAATGGCTTGTGACAAAAGCCTAGCCTATGCAAGTCCACGTCGTCGTATAGACCCTAATATAACGGCTACATTCCGTATTTTTAAGATTTTAACAGAATTTTGAACGGATTTTATATTATTATACCCTCCACCGTGGAAAGGAGGGTATATTAATTTTGTCATTCCGTTTGTAACATCCTTAAATATTTGTCGTAGACCCCATAAAGTAGATATATTCATAATCAGCATAAAATTCTAAGTCGATTTAACGATGTCCGTCTGTCTGGCTGTCCATCTGTCTGTCTGTTGAAATCACGATACAGCCCACATTTCTTGATGTAGAGCACCAACATTTAGCATAGCAATTTGTATTGTGTCTAGGATGGTTGGTATTGAAAATGAGATATATCGGTCCACGTTCTGGTACAGTCCCCATATAACGGTACCTCCGATATTCGGTATTTTGATGATTTATGCCACATTTTTTCACGAATTTGTCTGAAAATTGGTATTTCTAGGTCATAACGGGTCCCTGTGCCTGTGGCAAAACATTGCATGTATGGGTTCACGTTTTGGTATAGCCCCCATATAAAGGTACCTCCCGATATTCGGTATTTAAATTTTTTTTTTTGCCACATTTTTTCACGGATTTGTCTATAAATTAGTATTCGTTGGTCATAATAGGTTCCAGCTCTGGTGGCGAAACATTGCATGTATGGGTCCAAGATTTGGTATAGCCCCCACATAACGGTACCTCCCAGCATTCGGTATTTTGATGACTTTTGACATATTTTTTCAAGAATTTCTCTGAAAATTGGTAGCTGTAGATCATAATGGGTCCTAGCTCGTGTTGCGAGTCATTGTAATTATAGGTCCACGATTTGGTATAGCCCCAATATAACGGTACCTGCCGATATTCGGCATTTTAATGGTTTTTGCCACATTTCTTCTAATGTTTGCTTTACCCTAAGGTGGATGGTATTAACAGTTTGGCCCGGCCGAAATTAATGTTTTTTACTTGTTTTTTTTTTTTTTTTTTGAAAATTTCCAAATTTGTTCCAAATGGTGGAGGATATTCATAGTTACAGCTTTTTTTAATTGTTTTATCATTAACTTGTCTTTTTTTAATTTGACAAGTATTGATATTAACATTTATTTTTTTTAATTAATAATTAAAAGAAAATCTTTTTTCAACGTCAACTTTACATTGATATTTTTTCCGCGGAATTTTTTTTTCATTTTAATGTTATTTTTTTAATTAAACAAAATTAACAATATTAATTTTTTTAAATTTTTGTTTTCCTTTGCTTTAAGTTTTATTGTTTTTTTTATAATATAATTTATTTATTTTTTTTTACATTTATTTATTACACAAATCCAAAAAAGGGATTGTTTTAATTTTGGAATTATGTATCATTTTTTTATATTTTTTATTTAAACAAAATAACCAATATTATTTTTTTTCATTTTTGTTTACGTTTTCCTTTGTTTTATATTTTATTGTTTTTATTACACAAATCCAACAAAGAGATTGTTTTAATTTTTGGAATTATGTATCATTTTTTTTAATTAAACAAAATAACCAATATTAATTTTTAAACTTTTGTTTAAGTTTTCCTTTGTTTTATATTTTATTGTTTTTCTATAGTTATTTTTTTGCATTCAATTATTACACAAATCCAAAATAGGGGTATATTGCATTTGCGTTTCACAGTTTTTAATCATTCCTTTTTTATTTGTATTTATTTTCATTTCATTAATTTACTTTTTTTATTTTGTAGCCTTTTGTTGTTAATTACTTGTTTTGTAATTATTTCAAATTAACCTTTTACATTTAATTTATTATTTTTACCACCATTAACATCAAAACAAGCTTTTTTTATTTTTTTCACATTTTATTTACAACTTTGTTTGAATTTTTATTTTTTTTTTTTTTTTTGTTTCGCATTTCAAATCATTTTCATTGTTGGTAAGTATATTTATTTACAAACACATGAGTGTGTGTGCCTCTGTGTGTGTGTGTGTGTGCACATTTTAAAAGTGATTTTTATCTCTTTGATTTATTTGTGCTTTTAATTAATTGCTTAATTAAATGCCGTCGGCATTGTTACGCGTCGGCGTCAGCGTTCCGTCCGTCGTCATTTAAGGTGAGCGTATGGTAACTACTACCGTTGTTAGCACATCATTGAAAGCGCGTACACAAACGAATCGCAAAGCAAATTAACGACCACTATATCACAGCAACGATAATGACGAGCGATGATGGTGAGGAGACGAAAACGAAACCGACGACGATGATGACGATGACGACGGCGACGGCAATACAATGCGTATTATGTTGTTAAAACGTTTAAATCGAAAAGGCAATTGCCATTTGTTTTTCATTTTTTTTTGATCACCCAAATGGCTCTTCACTCACAGACAAGAAAAAACACTAAAAAACAACAACAACAACACTAAATGCCAGCAGCAAATGACGATGGAAACGATGATGATGATGAGCAATAAATGAAACAATGCTAACTGCTTGTTTATTGGTTTCAGCTTGCCATTCATTCTCATTCGGTCACAAACATTTTACATTCATTATTTCTTGTTGCTGATGCCGAAGCTGCTGCTGCTGCTGCCGCCGCATGTTGCTGATAACACTCGATGCTAAACAAAAATCGCCAAACATTTGTAGTCCCACCAGAGACAAACAATCATCAATTGAATCAACGAAAACAACACACACAAACGTAAAAGGCCAAAGATTGGGCGCAATGCTCTGTTATAATGACGACGACGAACGAACGACCAACGTCGATAATAATCGCCCCGACTGCGACGCAATGATGCTATGGAGACCGAGAGATGATTGTTTTCAAATCAACCTTACTTTTGCTAATTTGATCCGCAAAAGACAACGGGCAACCAAACAGCCAAGTCAAGCCAAGCGAAACGATTAACGATTTAACAAACTAATGAACTTGTGTTTGAATGGCCAGACAACAACACGCTAAATGACTCCACTCGATGCCATTAACAAGAAGGTTCAAACACAACACAACGAAAACACACTAACGCGCTCACACACACACACACGCGGAAATATAACGAAAACAACACACCATGCCAGACGGACGGACGACACTCAGCGTGGTGTATGAGATGGATGGACGACCCCACTTACAGAGTTAAATACTTTTTTGCTACACAAACATTTCCAACTCTCTTAAACTTTTGTTGTTGTTGTTCTTGTTTCTTCTTCTAACTGAAACACCATGTGTTTTTTTTTTGTTTTGTGTTTGCTTCACTTGTATTCCGTGTTTCAATATCCAACAAATTTTTATTATGATTTGTGAAGTTGAAAAAGAGCTGCTTGAACTGCGCCGTACAACTATTTAACGACGACTGAATGTGGCAATTATGTATCTAGATACATTTTGCCCAACTTGACGGCAAAACACAACGGCAGCAACACACACAAGTTGGTTGGGGGGCCGGCAGCGCAACAACAGCGCGGCACACAACCCAGTCACACAACACAACATGGAGCAACAACGACATGGTAAAGCACAGCACAGTACTACTCAGAATAAGAACAGCAGTAGTTGTATCACAGCACTGCCGCTCGCCACCTCCCCCGCAACAAAACCATAACACAACAAATCAAAAGACAAGCACTTCAAACGAACATTGTGACGTTTTCACACACAAAAAAAGTCAGTGATGTTTTTCGGGGGGGTTTGTTGAAGAAGACACTTTTTTCGACGTCGTCGCCGACGCTGCTGCGTTGCAGCTGGCGATGTCGCCAGCGTCGACAACATCCAAAAAGTCCAATGTTAATAATGACGATGTTTATTGTCGTCATTATCAACATTTTATTGCTTAAACGAAAACGTTTGTGGATGTTGCTACGCTTGCCATGGCTCCTTCATACAATTGCTATGTATGTTTGTCGTTGCTTGCATTCACACAAACACACACACACTCGCACACACTCAATTTTATATCCACCTTTAAAAAAAAATCCTCATACAATTATACACTCTTGTGCACATTTACATTTCATAGCAATAATAACAACAATAATAAAACACATTAAATGCCCTCCCCATATTTGTGTGCATACAGTATCGGGTCGTTGTATTATGAAGCGTATTTTATACAAAATTGAAATGAAAAATTGTGTGTGTGCGTTAGAAATACAATTTTCGAATTTGGAAAAAGGAAAGTTGTGTTGAATGCTAGGTTTCTGCTCAAATGATCCGATGTTTTCGTAGTTCTAAAAAATTGCAGAAGTATTCGAAAAAATAAATATTTATCGCAAAAAAATCTAAAGTAATTGCAATTTTTTAATTAAAAAAAAAAAAAATAAATAAATAAATCAATAAAATAAAATTGTGAAATTTACTATTTTTAGCAAAATCAATTGAAACAAGTAAGCAAAGGCTATAGTCGTGCGGGGCCGACCATATGATACCCTACAACACTATGTGTTCGAAGTCCCCTTATATCCAAATCCATTTTGGAAGATTTCGTTTTTGTATGTTCAAATTCTGCTTATATACAAAACCATTTTGGAAGATTTCGTTTTTGAAATAATGTCAAAGAGCCCCGCCCAGAGGGTACCCTTAGTTTTTTGACCCGGAGAATTTGGGCAATATTTACGCACTCCGTAGTGTTGTTAAGGATTCAAAACAATTTCACACGAAAGTTGTGGTCTATTTTACAGCTAAATAAAATCCAATGGCCATCCAAAATGCTAGACTTCTTCCCTGTCCTTAACTCTCTTCTGATACGGAATTCCGCGTCGATTACTTTTCAATTGTGACCTATAGAGCGACTACAAAATTAAAAAAAAAAAAAATAATTTTTTAGTCCATTTGCACCTCTAAAGGTACATCTTAAGAACAATGGGCTTTTATTCTGGCCCTTACCCTACCCCCATGCAAAATTTCGTGAGGATCGGACGATAATTGCGATATGTATATAATACCCTCAAAATGTAATGCTGGGGGGTGTAAAAATTTAGAAAATTTACAATTCAAAATTGTAAGTCAAATTGAAAAGATCGCATGCGATAAAAAAATATGACAAAAAATGAAAAAATTCGAAAGATATTCACTTTTTTATTGGTATATTTTTCCGCGATTTTCTTAGATTTTATCGTTCTATGGCAAGAGACCATTCCGAATTGATGGGAATTGTGAAAATCGGACCAGCGGTTCTTGATTTATAAGCAGAATAAATAAGATCAATTCTTTTACATATATATTGTACCTATTCTTCTATATATCCGATTTCTGGGCAATTAGCATCACTGTGATGGTCAGAAGTGATATTTTAATGTATTTTTGATTTGACTGGGATTGGAAATATTCCCGTTTTGGTGGACATTTTCCTATTTTTTTTTTTTACATAAAAGTTTGGGTCTATTTTACCCGCTAATTATTGTCCGATGACCGCCCAAATTGGTAGGTTTGGGCCCACTCCTAAACTCGAACTCCATGTTAATTTTCGCGTCGATTGGTTCATAATTGAGGCCTACAGAGCAACTGCAAAATCAGGAAATTTTTCTGTTTTTGGTCCATTTCAACCCATAGATATCGTGCGATCATCTCCAAAAACAATAGGGTTCTATTCTGACCATGACCCCACCTCCATTTTCATTTTCATGAGGATCGGTTCATAATTGCGACCTGTAGCTTGATTACAAATTAACATGGACAGACGGACGGTAGGACATACATAGCTAGATCGACTCAGCTCGGCGAGATAGGAAGATCCATATATACTTTCCTATGTGGGAAGTCAATATTTCGAGGTGTTACATAATTTTTGGCCCAATCAAACTTATAATAACCCCAACACATAGTGTTGTAGGGTATAAAATGGTCAAGACCCTCAAAATAAATTAAATCAGGGGGCTTACTGATCCAATCTATGTTTTCTTATGACCTTCATATAAAGGTATCACCCGATTTCGGACATTTTTAAGATTTTACTTTATTTTATACCCTTCACCATGGAAAGGTATATTAAATGCCAGTCTGTCTGTCAGTTGAAATAACGACACAGCCCATATTGGTGTTTTGGTATAGCCGCCATATAACGGTACCTCTCGATATTCGGTATTTTGATGATTTTCGCAACATTTTTTACGAATTTTACCTAAAACTGGCGTTTGTAGTTCGTAACTGATTCTAGCTGGTTTAAAAACATCGAATATAATACGCCCGCTGCCATATGGCTACATGGGGTATATACAGGGTTGCCCATATTCGACGGACTCATGAAACAAATTCTTCAGAAAATCGATTGTTATGCGACTTGTGTGCGGTGGAGCGCAGTCTTATTGAAACCAGAACTGCCTCATACGCTTTCGACGAATAATTGGCATCACAAAATTGGACATCATGTCGCGATAACGCCCCTGATTGATGGTAACAGCATGGCCATTTTCATTTTGGAAGAAAAACGGCCCAATGACCGTTTTCGCACTAACGCCGCACTAAACTGTGACTTTTTCGTCATGAAGAGGCACTTCTTGAATCTCCTGAGGATTTTCAGTGGCGTAAAAACGGCAATTTTGCTTATTTACGGTCCCATTCAATGTGAAATGGGCTTCATCGGACATGATAATTTTGTTCCAAAATAGGTTGAATGTAAATTTCAACTATTTCAGAGCGCTCGCGTCGCGTGTATTGGTTCTTGGTAAAAATCTGCTTGGACTGACGCTTCAAACGCGGTATGTCATTAAGCGATGTGACATCTCTGTCAAAAGTTATGGCGTTGCCAGATGGGTCCGTCGAATATAGGCAATCCTGTATCATTTGATACAGCCAAAACGTTCCTCATCAAAATAAGATCTGGTGTGAAGATGGGATATATCAGCCCACTCTTTCTGTAATCTCCTCTACAAAGGGGTAAACATTTTAATAACAATAAAGCTCATAAAAGCGAACTAAGTTTACTCGTCTCTTTAAATTTCACACACCTCAATATTTTCAGTAACAAAAGGTCTGCTGCGAAGACGATCTATCAGCCAATTGATGCCTCCCCAACAAACGTTCAATATTTGTATATCATTTATTCGCATAAAATTGCAAATAAATGTTCACTTTTTTACAATATTAATTGATGTGGAAGACTTCGTTCCGCTATATATAGTACCGCACGCATATTACAAAATCTTACAAAAATTAACACATCTCATATAATGTGAAGGAAGTATAGTCCAAATCTGGCATGTTACAATATTTATATCAGATTTAAATCAGATATGAAATGCACAATATTGGACCACTCTTTCGGAACCTTTCCAGAACCTTCAACAGTTTGAACCATCGCAACGTAGGCTGAGGAAATACATCTGTGGGCAATACTGATTCATACTTGTTTAAATCAATGTTTGTCGAAGTAATCCAAAGCTCAATATAAGTTTTTCATTGGGGTCACTTTGTATGTAAAGGTCGCTAAATTTGTCGAAAAAATGTAAACGTTTTTTTTTTAGAGTGAAAGTCACTGATGGAGTGCAGTATAGCTGTAACAAAGGAAAAGGGTGGGGAAAAATTCTGAAATGGTACTATTTTGTATTATGTGAGCGGATAGAGCTAAAAACTGGTACGAGAATCAAGGTTGGAGTTTGATACATAAACCTGGAACAGATTTGGTTTTGGGTAAAGGGATGAGTTCATATTATGTGTTAGGGTCTTGTTGGTGGTAGGCTTGTGATAAAGATTTGGTTTTGAAAATGTGTACTACAAGTGCACGAAAAGTACTAACTAGTATTATATTTTGTACAATTTAATATTGGCTGAAGAGATAGTGCTAGAAATCTGAAATTTGATATTAAGGTCGCTGTTCATGTTTAGCCTAGAAGGTGGTTTCGTAAATGTGTAATATATTTTAACGAACTAGCTCTCTATGGAAAGCACTCCTGGGTGTAGAAAAAATTAAACAAAAGTTACGTTTGTTCGTTTTCGTTATTGGTTTAACTTCTCACAGACTGTTGGATCACCCCATCGAGAGTCATCGGATATCTTCGGAAAAATGCCTTCCCCAAGTGAAATTACAAAGTACAGGGTTGCCCATATTCGACGGACCCATGACTCTTTG